GGGCCCGGCGTGCGAACGCATCTCGAAGGCGGCGTTGGAGGCGCTGGTCGTGACGAACACCATTCCGCAGGAGAAGAACATGCGCGACTGCTCCAAGATCCAGGTGACACGTGACTAACATAGAGAGCGAGACTAACCCCCTTTCCTTGCAGTGCATTGACGTGAGTATGATTTTGGCCGAAGCCATTCGTCGCACGCACAACGGCGAGAGCGTGTCCTACCTCTTCTCCAACGTTCCGATGTAGAGGGCGCTGCGCTCTGTGCCAAAACACATTCCCCTAAGCTTTTAATGCAAATAAAGAACATTTTTTGAACTTTGAACTTCTTTCGCCAGATTTCTCATTTCTGCTGTGAAGCCATTCGCAGGAATCACAACCGCGAGAGCATCGGCTCTCTCTTCAAAGAAGTGCCGTTTTGACAGTTTTAAGTCTTTTATTGAAATAAAGGTATTCAAAGAGAGATCTGTTTTGCCATTATTTTGGACGAATTGTAAACATTCCACAAGTCTTTGTCAACAAATCTGAACAAAGAGTCAATAATTGGCACAAATTTATTCCGGCTTTCATTCATTGATAATAACTGCGAGAAAAGAGAAAATCAGAAAAGAGAAGCGTTTTCTCAAACACTCACGGTAAGGGAACGGGCATCGCGCCCCCGCCTCCACCCCCGCCAAACCCGCCGCCGTTGCGCGCCAACAGTATGCCGAAGATGAGGCCTTTGAGGAACTTCTTGTCGCCCATGGCGTCGACGATCGTCAGCAGGAGAAACGCGAGCACAACCACGAGAACCACTTTGGACAACATTTCGGGCACAACAGCCGCTCCACCGCTGCGCTTATATAGCGATTTTGGGGCCACACCCGGCTGTCACGCCCGCGCGTGCACTCAATGGAGCGTTTATTGCACGAAACGTTTGCTCAAAAATAGACTCAAAAGTCGTTAAACTCTCGATTGGTTTCCGAATTGATTATTATTACAGTAATTATGAATTCAAACGCCTTTCGAAAAGCCATTAATTAAACAGTTTTAAAGAAGTGTTTAATTCGCGGAAAAAATAATTTCGCTTTCATTTCGCAAAAATGTTTTCCCTGAAAGTGACGCGACTTCTGCTCCTGTTCTGTCTCACGTTCGCCTTCGCTTCTGGCGCCAAGTCCTTCATCAAAGGTTCGCCACTCTTCACTCTCTCGCGTCTGACGCTCTTTG